CCCTTTTGGTCCTCCTTAAAACAGAGGTATGGGTTAATTGCCAGTTAGCTGATTCAGCCCTTGTGCTTAGGCAAAGGAGAATTTTCCAGGATAAAGGTGTAGCTGTTAAGATTTCTAAGCTATTTCTAAACTATTTAGGGTAAAAGAAGCAAAAATGCTATTATTGAAGCTCATGATATACAAGCCACCTTGGATAATTATACCAGGAGATAATATTGAGGGTTAGTCCACTGAAGTCCATGAATCTTAGGTCTCTTAAGTCAGTATGGTTTGCAAAGGAGTGTTTCAAAGTAAAACAAAAACAAACAAAGCAACAATAACACACATACTTAAGGACAGTATATCATCAATACAGAACAGATAACTGTAGAGTAATACAAGCATATTACCATATTTAAAAGTATTGAATATCTTAGGTAGTTCTGAAAAAAAGTTATGTAAAAGGAATGAGGTAGACAAAGAAATTCTCTTTGGAACATTTCAGGTTTGGGAAACATACTTTTCTCAAGTTTTAGAGAGCCCAGAAAGCAAGGTTCAGTGGATTCCATTCTTCCCCTCCTGTATATTTCTGATCTTTCAAACTGGGGCTCTGTGAGCCATTCTGAAATAAAGATACTAATTTTCCAAAGAAAATCTGGGAAGTTCCAGGACCAGTTTTAGCTATGCCTTAACTATTGAAAGTAATTATCATACAGTTTATAACAGTCCTATTTACACAAATTAATAGGGCTATTCCATTACCTGATAAATGATATGGGTCATTATAATTCATATTTACAAGAAAGGAGGTATAAACAGTCTTTCAACTCTCACCCCATCAGTCTGCTTGCAATAGCCAGTAAATTGTAAACTTGTTGCCTTAAGAACAACTCATTACTTGCACTGAAGAAGAAAATATTCTGAGAAACAAGTATCCAGGCTTTAAAGGAGGCAGGTTAACACTTGTTCACTGCCTTGTCTTAAGCCATCTGTCAGAAAAATATATAAGATATTCCAGCAAGGCATTTTATGCTCCTTTTTTGGACTGAAAATATTTTTTTGATTCAATCCAAGGGCTAACCTCTGGCCTAAGCTTTATTCCTCTTCCACTGATATAAGAACATTCTATTTAAATATCTATTTATATCAGAATACTACTATATGGTTGAGATGTAGCATAGAGAGAACCCTGACTAATTCTACATATCCTTCTTATTAGGAAAGCATGCCAGGGTTGTACCTGCAGCCACACTATTTAACCTGTACCTTAGACCTTTTTTCCATGGGACTTCTATGCTTCAAAGTTGACTACAGTTACTATTGTTATACTTTTATATGCACATGCTGCTATTGTTCTCTCCTTTACCAAAGCTGGTCTGAAACAAATGTTGAGAGAATTTATAGAATATTGTAATGAAGATGCATTAACTGTTATTTTTGGCAAAACCAAGATCATGGTCTTTTCCAGAAGTTTCTCCTTGATTAAATGGCTTATAGGTAATCAGAACATAGAACACATTAGACAATTTAAATATTTAAAAGTTGAATTGTCTTCCAGTTTTCTGGGTCTTGGGTGGCACATCAGACTTCTGTTATATAATTAGCATCTAATATCAGCAATGCTGTAATTTGTTCCTTTTAGAAGGAGACAGTTTATTCCTGTTGTGCTCTGAGTATTTAAGTCTAAGATATTGCCACAGCTGTTGTGGATTTCAGATTCCTCTTCCACTTTGCACAAATACTCTGTTTTTTGCCTCTGCTCATTGGAGTATATAATTGTGTATCATCAGCAGTTTTATGGCTTGAGGCTAGGCTCTCATCAGTGAAACATACTGCTTGGTACTATGTATTCAAGATACTGTGTCCCTTCTCCAAGAAGACAATTGTATGAGTCAGTGTCAGAGATAATTACAGACTGTGGACTTTTCTGATAACTTCAATACTTCAAAGTATTTCATGAACAAAAACTGTTGTAGTACTTTGGTTAAAGGACACCAATACTCTACATTCTTTATCCCTGCTACCTGTTCCTTATTTTACTTAGACTTAACTTTTTATATTCAGAGAACAGCAAAATATTGAAAATGTGATTAATCCTAAAGGCTAGATAACATTTTAAAAAGCCAGATTCAGTGTAATTCCCTCTGCAGTATTGGATAGTTATTCTCAGGGGTTTCCTTATATAAATTGCCTCTGCCCATGTGGAGATGGTGGGAGAGGCCCTACCCTGTACACCCAGTCCCGGGTTAAGAGGAAGTTGCATTCCTGAGATTGTCTTTAAGTCGAATTTGTATATAAGTCAGATTGCATATATAAAAACATATAAAACACTTAAACACTTTCATATACACTACAATAGCTTAAACAAAATACAGTATTTTAATAAAGAGAATAGAAAAATAATAAAGTAACTACAGGTACTGGAGAGAGGGGGGGAGAGAGAGTCTGTATGTAGGTAGGAATATAGCAGGGGTCCCCAACCCCTGGGCTATGGATTGGTACCAGTCCATGGCCTGTTAAAACTGGGTCGCAGAGCAGTAGGTGAGTGGTGGGCAAGTGAGCAAAGCCCCATCTGCAGCCACAGCTGTTCCTCTGCACTCTCATAGGAACAGAAGCCTCCTGGCCAGGAAGGGCTGTGTGGGGGTGCACATTGGCATCCTGCACAGCCAAGCAGGGGCTGATTGGTGGCAGAGGATGAGGGGACCTGCTCCCACTGCTCCAGTTAATGGGCGCCTGCTTCATCAGCCAAAATGCTGTGACAGGGTGTGTGCCCCAAACCCAAGAGCCTCCCAGAGACACCAGCAAAGCATGGCGCATTCTGATACATGCCAGCAGACAGCCATTTGCCAGGAGAAGCTCTGTGTGCTGCGTACTGCTCGTGGGCAGATGGGCAGGGGCTGCTGTGAACCATCAGGGCTGGCGGGGAGCTCAGTGCTCTCACTGGGTCTTGATGAGGAGCTCCGAGAGCACAAATTCCACTGCAAAGCATGCATGTGAGGGATCCAGGCTGCACACTCCCCACAAGAATCCAATGCCTGAGGTTCCGAGGTGGAGCCAAGACAGCAACAACAGCAGTGGGGAGTGGCCACAAACACAGAGGAAACCTAGTTCACTCATCTGCCACCCACCCCCTGCTGTGCGGCCCAGCTCTTAACAGCTCCCACTGATTCTGCATTATGGTGAGTTGTGTAATTATTTCATTATATATTACAGTGTAACAATAAAAGAAATAAAGTGCACAATAAATGCAATACACTTGGATCAAGCTGAAACCACCCCCCACCACCCCTGGTCCATGGAAAAATTGTCTTCCACAAAACCGGTTCCTGGTGCCAAAGAGTTCTTAAAACAGTTTAGATAGAAAGATAGGGGGGGAAGTAAAAAGATTATTAAAGGTTAACTCTTTTTCAGCTAACATTAAGCCCAACATTAACTAGATGAGTTTATAAATAAATAAATAAATAAATAAATGAGATGGGACTGGCATTAGAGAGAATGGATCTGGTGCTAGAGAGTCAGGGTTTCATTGTGCTACTGGAGGGGAGGTTACCACTGGAGTTGCTTTCTAGTTCCAACTTTGCTGCTCACCAACACTACCTATTGCTCTTTCCCTCCTCCTTCTCTTTGGCTCCCTCCCTCCTTCCTATCCTTCCTTTCCTTACTCCTTCCTTCCTCTCCTCATTCTCCAGCACTCACTGCTCACCAAGCATGGGCACCCACTTGCTAATCAAGGATGAGACAGGACTTCCAAGTTTGCTTGGTCATAAGTAGGCATTCTTGTTAACTGGGATGTTTATAACAGAGGGACTAGGTGTATGCTTCTGTTTTGTAATTTCTGTATAGATTAATGAATAAGACATGATATATCTATCTTACAAAAACCTCCTGGAAGACAGTCTAACTGGTTTGTGACTTATTTATTGGGTGATGTTAAAAAATATACAACAGGTTGTTGCAAGTTTGTTAGTCTCTGTATTGAAAAGACCAGATTTCTAGATATTCTAGTCTATTATCTAGATTAAATTTAAATAGTACTAATTTACTGATTATGTTTTAAATGCTACTGTATTTAGGTTTTAAATATGTCAAGCAGATGTTCTGCTGTTCTTTGCATTATGTATTTCATCTTATTGGTTATTTGTATTTTAATAGCCCTGTGACTGCATAATAAATATGATGATGATGATGGTGGTGGTGGTGGTGGCAGTGATGACAATGTCAGGGCAATTCTCCTTACCTCCTACCACTCATTGATAGAACCGATTTTTGTTTTTTGTTTTGCATGAGAATTTCTTTAACCTGCAACTGCACATTTACAATAAATGCACTTGTGCTAATGCTATAGATGTGCAAATAAGAAAATTTGAAGCTACCCATTTTCTCTGAATTCCATTGCAGAGCTCACTTAGATTTGAATCTGTATCGGATTGCAACTTTGTTTTTGTTTTGCTTGAAAATCCATACATATTTCAATGCATTTTTGAAATGTAAATATTTTTCATCAATTAAAGCATGTTTGCACATTTTTCAAATATATGTATGCTTATTTTGATCCACAAATAATGCCAGAAGTTCAAAAATGTATGGACCTTGACCACAGATTGCATCTGAGCTTCCGTTCAGTCCAGAAGGTACAAACTGGGTAAATCTGATCAAAATGAAATGAAATAAATTTCTCATACATCTCTACCTTGCACAATTTTCCCCCAAAAGTAGAAAACTAATGTGCTATTTCACAAAGTTCACACAACACCAAAAAAGCGAGTCAACTGCAAATTGCACAGTTCCATTTCAGAGAAATGTGAACTCATTTGATTTTTTTCTGTGACATCTTTACTTCATAGTAAAACTTTTTAATTTCACTCTGTAAGTTACATCATTATGTTGATTTTGAACCTGTACTCAATTGCTCCTATATTATTTAAAAGTAGAAAACGTCTCATCAAATATTTCCTTTTCTTTGTTTATTTAGTATTATATAGTATTGTTTGTAAATGCATTTTCATCATTACATCTTCAAGCAGGATGAAAAGGAGAAGCTGACTTGGAAAGACCGTACCCCTGGATATCTAGTGAATTTCGCATCTATCTTATTTATGGTAATTCCACTGGCATTATTCCCTCCACCTCCCCCCATCACACACTTCCATATTGGTCTATAATAAACTGACTTTGTCTAAATAAATCTTCAAAGTGAATAAGTGTCCACAAGGATAAACATTACTTTTGTTATTTTCAAATTAGTGATAGACTGAGGGAAAGAAAAGTGCTTGCCTTCTGAGCAACTGTGCCATAAAGCTGCTCCAATTAAGAACTCGATCTTTCATGCAAGGTTGGCTCTTTGACCAGCTAAATTGAAAAACAGGTTTAAATGTTATGAAATATGCTAATAGTAGTCAGAGTTTAGAACTATAATCTCTCAAGGAGAAAAATTCTATCAAGTTCTTCTTCTCACTCTCTGCTAGAACACTGAAGTGAATCACAGAATCCTGATCAGCTTCTGTAATTCAGTCCATATCTACCCCTTGTGCAGACCCAAGCCTTTAGGTTGGAGGTGAAGTCTAGGACAGTCGAGAAGTTCTAGCTTAACCAGATTCTAGTTCCCCTGCTGTCTTAAACTCTTAAATGCAAGCAGGAAGCATAGTTTAAAAACATAGTTTCCTTCACCTAAGTGTTTCTTCACTGTTGCAGAGGAATTCACTGATGAGTGAAATTCCAAATGTAAGGAATGTAAATGTTAGATCAACTGTGTTTGGGAATGCCATATAGAAAGTGTACCTAGCCAGTCAAAGCTAGAAAAGAAATAAAAAAGAGGGATTTTTCCAGAGCAATAAAAGGACTCATGGTTTTGGGTTTTCATGCTGTAGCTTGCTACAAGAATCCTAAGTTGAAATTGACCACCTTGCATCTCACAGGCAGGAGTGAATATTTTTCTTTTTAAAAATTTCCCTCATTACGTAAATGCAAAGAGACATGCTAGTGAGACAGATGAAAAGAAAGGAATGAAGGAACAAGCTGATCAGGATAAGTGAAACACTCCCTTGTTCCAAGACATTGAAAGCAAAGGGGCAGGGGAGGGGGGCAGGGAAAACACCTTCTTTTCCTTGCAGTGGAATTTTCTGTTTCTGGATTGCCCTGGGACCTGATGGAAGACAGAAGGCTCTGGATTCATTCTGTAAATGACCCTTCTTCCATGCTTTTACCTCAGATTCCAGAGCAGGTGAAGCTCTCACTTATTCCTAGCATCCATTGTCTACTCTGCAGAGTACTCTCCAAAGTAATCTGCATCCATTGTCACAGTTATTCTTCATATTAAATGGAGTTAGGGTGACCTGAACTGAAGAAAATAATGGCTTGTCAAATGCTGCCTAGTCAGTTTGTGGCTATTTAGTCAGTTTATGGCTGAGGTGAGTTAACTAGATCACCAAAGCCTCATTCTAAAATATAAGATAGAATCTGATGTAGGGTGGCCACTTATGAAACACCTAAAAATTGGGCAAAAGAATAAACCTATTTGCATAAAAATTGCAAGTGCTGTTTGATTTGTGGATGCCACCATAGAAATTATTACTACAATTAGAATAAAAATGTGGTGCATCTCACCATAATGTGGATGACTGTGACTAAGTGACTTGCTTAATCTGCTGACCAAATGTTGTTGATTGGCAACTTCATGGGTCACCTCTTCCTTTGAATGGTTTGATTTTTTTTTCTTTACTTGGACTGGAAAACCCTTCAAAAGGATGGTTGTCTCCTGTAAAAGAGGACACCTGGTCACCCTATTGGATGATACCTCAAGGGGTAGTAAATGAGTTGTGTCATGAACTTTCATAGAACAGAGTCTGCTTCCTCAGGTGCATAAAGTTCTGTCTTCTGACAGATATGCAGGCACAATGGGTTGTATATTTATTTATTTATTTTTATTAAAACATTTTTATGCCGCCCCATTCGCCGAGGCCTCGGGGCGGCTTACAACAATACACCTGCATCCTTTTGCCACCAGAATAGTTCTGACTGGTAGGTAGAATTTATAGGTTTAGTTTGTACTGCACATTTCTACTGGGAAAAGTGGCTCACAATCATAAATAAAACTCATTTAAGACATTAATTTGTGCAAACATAATGAAATCAAGAAAGACAGTAAGACAGACAGAAATCCTGACCCAACAGATCTGCTTAAATGCCAAAGTTCGGTTTAATTCAAAAGGCATTTCTTTGCTTGTGGAAGATTAGCAGAGAGGGAGTGAACCTTGCTCGCTTTACAGAGACTACTGCAGCTTGGGAGCATCCACTGAGAAGGCACTATCTCATGGTGTCACCAAATGGAGCTGGATAAGTTTGTAGGCAGAAGTTGGTTTTTCAGGTGACCTGCTCCCAAGCCATATAGGGTTTTATAAGACATTACCAGCACTTTGAAGCAGTGCTGAAAAGAGACCACTAGCCAGGAAAACTATTTTAACAAGGGGACCATGTGCTGCTTGAAACCAGCCTCCATCAACAGTCTGCCATTCTGGGCCAGCTGAAGCTTCTGAAAGATTTCAAAGGCAGACTAACATACTTCAGTAGTCCAAATAGGATGCATCTAAGGCATGATTTTCAAGACCTAAGTGGACATCTCTAGAAACAAATTTTGTTGGTGCACTACCTTTAACTACTCACTCCTAGCCACTGCCAAAACCTGAATGTTCTGGTGCAAATCTGGATTCAGAAGTATATCCAAACTGCAAGCCTGAATCTTCACAGGGAGTGCAGCCCATGTAGTACAGGTTATATCCCTATTTTCTGATCAGCTGTTCAACTAACTTGAGGGAACAGGCACAGATGCTAAATGACTATTTTGCCTCAGTGTCCTCCCCAAAGTAGGATGGGGGATATCCACATAGGAGATTAGATGAGGCTGGGGACTTAGGGGCACTGATTAGAGTCACCCCCCTTGAAGTCAAGGGGCTTCTCAGAACATTGGACATTACAAAGGCACCAGGCCCTGACGGGTTACATCCAAGAGTACTTAGAGAGTTGGCAGGGGTTCTCCCATGCCCACTGGCCTCCATTTTTGAGACCTCATGGAGAATGGGTGAAGTTCCAGAGGACTGGAGGGTGGCATCAGTGGTCCCAATTTTCAAAAAGGGTAGTAGAAGGCACATGGGGAACTATAGACAGGTTAGCCTTACGTCCATTGTAGGAAAAACAATGGAAAGGCTCATAATAGAGAGAGATCTAGTGATGCTAGATAGGGAAGGGAGGCTGACAGCCACACAACATGGCTTCCGCAAAAACAGGTCCTGCCAGACAAACCGTGTGGAATTCTATGACAAGGTTTTGCGATGGCTAGATGGAGAGGATGCAGTGGATGTGGTATACCTGGATTTCAGCAAGGCCTTTGACAAAGTGCCCCATGATATCCTGGTGGAGAAACTGAGGAGTTTTGGGATACACCAAAGCACTGTCTGGTGGATTAGGGCATGGTTGACTGACCAAAAGCAGAAGGTAACCATTAGCAGGGAATCATCGGGATGGCGGCCAGTGACAAGCGGGGTTCCCCAAGGCTCTGTCCTGGGGTCGATCCTGTTAATCTTTTCATAAATGACGTGGAAGAAGGGGTGAACAGTCTGCTGATCAAATTCACAGATGACACTAAAACTGGAGCAGTGGTCACAACTGAGGAGCAGGTACTCCCGATCCAAAAGGATCTGGACAGACTATGGAAGTGGGCAGGAGACAACAGGATGGCATTCAATGTGGATAAGTGCAAGGTCTTGCACTTGGGGCATAGGAATAGCTGTCATAAGTACAGGTTAGGTGATAAGTGGCTGGAGAGCAGCACTTGTGAAAGGGACCTTGGGGTACTGGTTGACTGCAGGCTAAACATGAGTCAGCAGTGTGATGCGGTGGTCAAGAGGGCGAACGCCACCCTTGGTTGCATAGCCAGAAGTGTGGCTTCTAGATCAAGAGAGGTATTACTACCACTCTACACGACTCTAGTGCGCCCGCAACTGGAGTATTGTGTTCAGGTTTGGGCCCCTCATTACAGAAAGGATATAGCCAGGTTGGAGTCAGTGCAGCATAGGGCCACAAGGTTGGTGGCCGGTTTGCAGGGGATACCGTATGAGGCGAGACTGAGGGAACTGGGTCTCTTCAGCCTGGAGAAGAGGAGACTCAGAGGGGATACACTGGCAACATACAGGTATGTGAGGGGATGTCACATGGAGATGGGTAGAGACCTGCAGAGAAAGGCAGAACACGCTCCAATGGAGCAAAGCTCAGGGAGCCAAGTTTTCATTTGGATGCCAGGAAGCACTTCCTGACAGTCAGGACCCCGAGGGTGTGGAATGGGCTTCCACAAGAGGTCATTGAGGCCCCATCGGTGCGGGTGTTCAAGGATAGACTGGACGTCCACATGGTGGGTATGTTGTGAGCGGAGCCGGCTGGTGCCAGAGGTCAGACTAGATGGCCCGGGAGACCCCTTCTGACTCGCTCTGTTTTCTATGTTTCTATGTTTCTACTGGTTGTCTGGATTGGTCTTCTCATCCAGTTCATTACTAATGTCAGACAGCAATTTAGAACTAGAAAAAGTTTCCTTGGACTGAATGGAAAACATGGAATTAGTTAATATCAGCAAATGATGGCACCAAATCCTAAAACTTTGAATAATTTCTCCCAGTTATTTTATATATATAATATATATAATATATATTATTATATATAATATATATATGTTAAATGCCATGAGGAAGAAGGTGTGACCTTGATGGACACTAAAGCTCAATAGCCACAACATTGAACAGTTATTTGCCCCCAACCTTACATCCTTCCAATCCATTCTGGAGGGTTAAAGGACCTCCCGGAACTGACTGAGGCTACTCCCAATCAGTATAGTGAGCACTTCAAAATAAGTTTTTTTTCTAGTTCTCTAAGCTCGCTCAACCACCGTAGCTACTAAACTGTAATAAAGTTTTTCTATGAATAATTGTGTGTTTCTTTTCAGATTTCACTGACATTTTCAATAGTCTTTGGTGTGATTGTCTATCGGATAACTACTGCAGCAGCACTGTCAATGAGTACCAATGGGTCATCTAGGTCCAATGTCCGTGTGACAGTGACAGCAACTGCTGTCATCATTAACCTTGTTGTGATACTTATCCTAGATGAGATTTATGGGATAGTTGCCAAAAAGTTGACAGAAATGGGTAATGTTCTTTTACTCTTAAGACATGCATTTTGCTTCTTGCTTAATAATGTATACTTAGTAAATGTCTTTCTTCCACAAAGTAGAACTATTTCTCTAGTATGTATTCTCAGTTTGCACAGAAAGGCCCAACAGTCCTGACCAGCACCCAAGTACATGCTTTGGATTCTCCAATATGATTCTAAATGCAAGTTTCCAGGGAACATGAGCAGGAGGGTGCTGTTGTCCTCCCTTTCCAGTTGTGGACCTCCCTGGTTAGCCACTGTGGAAACAGAATGCTGCATTAGATAGGAATGATTCTTTATTCCGCTATTCTTCTGGAAATGTGCTGTGTTCAGTTTCATAGTCTTCCTCAATTCTGGTTTAACTAGGAGAAGTTCTAGTTAATTTCTGAACAGATGTGTGAATTCTTCCCTGAAACCCTTTGACAGGCCATCATGGTCTACATGGGTTATTTCTATCCTGCCTTGGGTGATCAGAAGCACTTTCATTCTCATTCTTCAGAGAAGATGCATCCTGAAGTGGATGCTCCTCTATTTCTAATGGCTTTCCGCCAGGGGTCAGTGGAATTTCACTCATCCCAAGCAAAGGTATATCCCAGATTCATAGTTTCTAGAAACAGTGCAACTGGAATATGTTATGGAAAAAAGGACCAAGTTCATATAATTCCTGAGGGATGCAAGGGAGGTACATCTGTTGAATGTTATACGATTCTTTTATTGTTGAGCAGTGTCCAGTGCTGTCATTCCACAATTCAAATTGCTAATGATATTTGATGTTCCAACATATCTTTTGTTGTGCTAGCAGGTACACAACCTATTGTAGAAATCCTTATACAAGTGGTCAAGCAGCCAGTTGCATGACTGGCTGCATGACTGTAACGCACAATGGGTTGTACACTGCACTTGTGAAATGCAACTTGAAATTCTCATCTTTCATTTGGTACCTACTTTCTGCTAGTATAACAGATGTGCTAACAGACATTGGATAAGAACAATCAATCAGTTGCAGCAACCAAATATTTTTTTAAAGATAAAAATAAAAGATTTTAAAGTTTTAAATGATCCTATAAAACACATGAAAAGCAGCATTTTGTAATCAATAACACAAATTTATAATTCCTCATATAAAGTAGAAAGTAGCTTAAAGTTTAGTAACTGAAAAGGCAAAACTGCCACTGCCAATTGCCTTTTTGTGAGACGTAAACAGCAACAACAAACATTGTCCAAATTAAATCAAGCAGTTCTTCCTGGAGGAACAGTATCTAAAAACTTGGTACAAAAGGAAATCTTCCACATGGGCATAACTTATTACCATAAGGTAATTTTGTAAAAATATCCTTCCAAGAGAGTGGTTAATTTCTGTTTTATCCAGAGTTTAATTAAGGCAGTTCTAAAGGAAGAATGGAAATAGGCTTCAGACTTTCACATTCAAATATGAATTTAAAACTTGCATACCAGGGAGCTATCTTGTTATGTGCAATGTTAAAATACAATAATAACAAATAATTAACACTTGCTGCCCTTTCATGGCATCTCACCTCTGCTGCCTGAGGTGGCTATCTCTGTCTGCATAATGATAGGTTCCAACTTTAGAATAATTGTCAGTTCATATTTTAATATGGATTTACCTCCTTTCCTACTTTTGAACCATTATGTAAACCAAACTCAATTATCCTTTCATATCTGTACTTCTCTGATTTATGCAAAGGAGTTCTCCAACCTGTACCCTTATCTGTATAAAAGCATCTACAGTGGTACCTTGGCTCAAGAACTTAATCTGTTCCAGGACTCTGATCATGACCCAAATTGGTTGTGAGTCAAGTTAAATTTCCCCATAAGGTTCAATGTAAATAAGGTTAATCCATTCTGTAACTATTTTTTTTAAATCAGAAAAATGTGAAGCAAAGTGACAAAGAACAACAAAGATCACAACCATCTCCCCCCCCACCCCAGCACAATCACGACCGCTCCCATCATCCTTGCACGCGCCTGTGATCCCAGCATGCTGGGCGGTGGGGGAGAGACAGGCGCAAATGGGGTGCACTGGGGGAGGGAGAGACAGGCGCAAATGCAGGTGCACTTGGGGGGGAGATGGGGCACAATCATGCTGGGGGGGAGTTGGCCAAGATTGCAGTTGCACTCCTGCAGCAAAGACGGGTGCAATCATGGGGACGTTCCTGCAGGAAAGATGGGCATGATCTCAGCCATCTCCCCCACCCTAGCCCCCAGCACGATCGTGGCCAGCTCCCCACTCAGGTGGGGGGAGGGGATGGCCACAATTGTGGTTGCCACCCAGTGCAGAGTTCACGATCTGAGTGAAAATTTTAATGTAATTTCTGTTCACGACACGATTTGGTCGTGAACTGAGGCGTTTGTGAGCCGAGGTACCACTGTATTAGGCATAGATCATATTGTATCAATGTTTTATAGATCTGTTAGGAATGGATTTGTATTAGGAACATTTTTTGCAAAAGCACAAGATTTTTAGGCAAAAATTCATACAAAATGCAACTATTAGAAGAAAAGTGCACAAAAATGCTTATGAATTTCCATCTGAACTTAAAAACAAGACCACCACACATTTCAGGATGACCCAAACTTAAGGATGAATAAATTCTCAAAGTTGGAGATGAACTGAAATGTAAGACAGGAAAAATGAGATATTGAGGGAAACTAAAATTAACAGATTCATCTATCCCTGGCTATCTCAGTATGTCTCTTTTCTGAGATACCACATAGAGATACCATACTGGATCACAGTGAATGCTAGTCAGTACTATCCCCATTTTGAGAGGCATAAGATGACTTATGCAACCTTTCCTGGAATAGGGAAAAAAGGAAAGAAAAGAACTGGCAGCAGCTAAGAATCTTGCCTTTCTAGCATCTTAATATCCCATTGAGGGAAAAGTTATTACAATCCAAAAGTAGGAAACATGATGCCCATAGACAACTCTCGTACTTTCCAAGGTGCATTGCTCCTCCCTTTAAAAAAAATGTACACATTTTCTGACTGGCAGTTCAAATTACTGTGAAATACATTTCTGTCAGGGATGAAATCTGTGAGCTGTTTAGTATATTGGGACTCAAATCCCACTTCTGGCTTGTATTCAATCTTCTGGGCAGGTTATTTATCCTTTACCATGTCTCATATGACAACCATTTTATGATACTCTGCACAGTTTCTCAGATTGCCTGGTGTGCCCACAGCCCCCAAAGACTGCCTGCTGCTGTTCTAATCCATAGGAGATGACAGGGTGACAAGAAACCAGGAAGGCAGCTATGGGAATTTAGGGAGGAAATGGGAAGGAAGCACCGCTAGGGAAAACTGCAGCTGGTGTGGAATGTGGGTGAAGCAGTTCATATACCTATTATGTGTCAGAGACTCCAGTGTGACCACAAGCACACTTTAAGGTCATGATTGGTCTGTTGTGTATCTCAGAGATTAGTAGTGAGTAGCAAATCATCTGTCTGTCTGATTTTTTCTTCATACAGAGATACCAAAAACAGAAAAAGCATTTGAGGAGAGGTTAATTATGAAGGCTTTTCTACTGAAATTTGTTAACTCCTATGCACCAATTTTTTATGTGGCCTTTTTTAAAGGAAGGTAGGTTGACTATAATTCCTTAACATATAATTGACAATCTATCCCTGTTGTGGCATTTGAAAGGTATACATAAGGCATGTGTTCTGCATACTTATTGCTCATTACTTTTTTCTAGGATATGGGGAAATTTGGTGGCAGGTAGAGGTAAGAAACCTGTGGCCCTCCAGATGTTGTTGGACTCCAGTTCCCATTAGCCCCAAACAACATGTACTAGAGATGATGGGATGAGTTGGGAATGAAAGCAGTTGTGCTCCAACAACATCTGGAGGGCCACGGGTTCTCTACCCTTGAGCTAAAGAGGACCTGATCACTATTGTTTTTGAAAGTCAAGTGGGCAAAGAGAAACATTACTGTTCCCCTCCTCCAAGGCTCCTGCATGGTGCTAAGCATTGGAATGGGAGAGGGAATTTATAATGCTCAGCACAAATGAAGAGACTGCTACCCCTGAAGTGTGGATTTCACAATTTGTACTGAATACACTGAGGAGGGTCAGGTGTCCTTGCAGAGGGTGAGGGGTGACTGCCAGCACTCTACCTAGTAAAAGTTAAAGGACCTTGTGGTGAATATTTAGTCCAAGGGCTCATAAGCCCATAAGGATTGTACTCCATTATAAACCTTAGAGATTACTTCAAAAAATGATGGTAACAAACAATAGCAGGAAAAACGAAAGCATTTCAAAATGTAGGTCTGACTTCTTGCAAATCCTCTTACCTGCAGATAATTAATTTTTTATCTACACCCACCCTTGCACTGTTTCAGAAAAAAGAAAGTTGTCACACCATTTGCCTTTTTAGCACTCATTTGAGTGTATATACAATTCATTTTACTTAAAATTGCTTATTTTGTGCAGCTAAGTGTTGTATGATCTTTGAAATAAATATCAAACTTGATATAGCTATAGTTTAAGTAGCTTAGACTGAAACCTGGGTTAACCTTCAGTGAACTCATGACAGCTGCTGGAAATAAGCGGTAACAGCTGGATTAAGATATGAAACTTTAAATCAGTAATCTCTGTTTCTTTCAGTTGAGGGTACAGGTAATTTAAATCTTGTTTAAAATAGTATGGATTCTTTTAAATTACTGATTTGATCTCTCTCTGAATGTATCCATCATTCTAAGGTTTGTTGGACGACCTGGCCATTATGTTTATGTGTTTCCTGGTTACCGAATGGAAGAGGTAAGTACCTAAATGTAAATTCAAACTTTGAACATTGTTAGACTGCTAAAGCTGAAATACTGTTGTGCCCCCTAAAAGTGCATTACATTTTCTAAACATCATCAGTGGAAAGGACATGCAATAGGAGATACTTTACTGAAATTGGTTACCTACAGGAAAAAAGAAAATATCTCGTTCTTCCCTCTGTATCCCACACCCTCCCTATAGTAGGCTTTTCCAAGCACTGCAAATTCCATTAAGCAGATCACTGATCCTTTCTGTCTTAAGGCCTACAGTCTGCAAATGAATGAAGTTGCACTTTCTGGAAGGAAATCCAGTCCCCTCTTCACTGTGACCTTTCTTTTTAACATCATTCAACTAGGAATTTCTAGCCCTGTTTTTCAAATACCCAACTAAACATGTCCAATGCATGAGCTCAGATTCCGGTAAGCAGCCCACTGACAAGAGCAAAAAGCCAGAGGGTGGAGAGAAAAGGATTTATTTCCCATCTTCTTCTGGCAAAATAAATTATTGGGCTTCATTTTTTTTCTTGTATGTTTTCTTGCTTTGCCAACAATTAATGATGGAAAACTCTCCTACCCCCCCACAGTCCAATCCTTTAATAAATTGAAAAACTTGGATTAATCTGCAGGACAGTCAATATGGGTATGTTTTTAATAATCAAGGATTCAGGTCTAACTTCCTTCACACATAATTATGTCATTCAAAAATGTTTTTAACAAATATAACAATAACAAAATTAAAAGCATGTGAACTAAAAGAGGTATGGGAAGGCAAGAGAAAACTGTATCGTTACACAATAATCATTTTCACCATTCTTAATTTAAAAGAAAAAGAAAAAAAAAAGATCTGTTTGAAATATATCCATCCATTAATAAAAACAATTCATATTTGTGTGGCGTTACACTTCCACGTGAGATTAATGGCTGAAGGAGAGACCCCCAAACATAGCAAGAGCAGGTCAATCCTCAGTTCAGTGCCTGACAGGGGAGGAGGTGGCTGTTCACCTTTCTCAGCTTGCAGTATGGGTATCTCTGCAACTGTAAAAGCTCTTGGTCTCTGCTCTTGTTGTCCTTTTGTTACTCCTCACATCACAAGAACGTAATTGAAAAGCACACAAACATCTACCAATATCACAGATTTTTCAAGCATGAAGCTGATACAAGCAATGACTTCAAACCAAACCACTACAGGACATGTCCACATAATATGCTTCAATGTAAATATATGATCAATAAATGTCTTTATTGGACTGCCAGAATTTGGTGGAGTTAGATAGCTTCTTTTGAAAAAGCCTTCCTGGTGTCCAGTATATGGTAAACCTCAATTTTGATTGGACAACATACATACTAATGTCTTGAGTCAACTAGTACTGTAGTCCTTCTGAAGACTATTCAATATTGAACATTATGTATTAGGAACCAGGACTCATGCTTGCACACCCTCTACCATCCACTGCCTGCTATAGTCTACAAAAGCAGTAGGGGTAGCATGGCTGTTACATGGGCATCATCCACTTGCTGGTTTCCTTACCTATACTGTTATAATCAACTGCTTGTTCTTTACAACTTTAGTGTGCTCCAGGAGGCTGCCTGATGGAACTTTGCATTCAGCTGAGCATTATAATGCTGGGAAAGCAGCTGATCCAAAACAATATCTTTGAAATTGGAGTCCCGTATGTATTAAATTATGATCACACTTATTGGTTTTGGTCTATGTTGCCATTGAACAATTTGGAAGTTGGACTGAGGTCAAATAAAATCACCTTAAGGGCACAGTATATTTAATTGTGATAAAATGCTGGATTTGATTCACACAAAATGTACACAGGGGAAAGAGGTGCAAGATCAAGGCTTGCTTATGCATCCTGTCATTTTTCTAGATCTTGATGGTGTTGGTCTAAACAAACTGCCCTTTCAGTTAGTACAGATCAAGGGACCTGATCTCAGGGGAATAATATAAATCAAGTCAAAAAGAGGGTAGCCATGGAACAAAAAAATATAGGTAACCCTGACTGGTAATGACAAGTTTACTATATCATCTGGAAGTGACCAGTGCTTTTTGATAAATATGTCTTCTGATGTGATCCCAGTCAAGCACTTGATCAAAAAGAAACTTATTTTCTAAACTTGAACTCTGGAAGAATACTTTTAGGAACAGAAGAATGTATAGAATCATTAACCTTGATGAAGATGTATCTGCTGAAGTACCTCTCTATTTCCAATCATTAAACTAAAAATATTCAAGTAAGGTTACCCAAGCCCCAGTTTCACTGATTTATATTTCATTACAAATACATGCAATTGCTCTCCCTTTTGGTTAGCTTTGAAAGAAATCTTTGTTTAAAAAGGAAGCTAGAGAATAGATTCATTATTCTCTCATAATGTCCTTTGTTTAGCATCCATACTTCAGGTTAATGAACTCCCAGAAGCATGGAATTAGTGTGGATTGTAACCTATCCACACAAATGTGATAGCATGGTCATATGACTCTCTCTCTCTCTCTCTCTCTCTCTCTCTCTCTCTCTCTCTCTCTCTCTCTCTCTCTCTCTCTCTCTCTGCCTACATAGTATTTCTTGACAATATTTTTAATACATGTCTTGATGCTGATATCCCTGATGTCATCATTAGATAATACATGCCTACATTTCTTTTATGATGATTTATATTATTTATTTTAGTCAGTAGAAATTAAAACCTTATGAGTAATTCTAGTGAGAGAAGAAATATTGTGGAGTAGGTGCTTAACTCAATTTCCTAATGGTCCATAAAACTTGCTGGTTTGCCTTGTTGTTGTTGTTAGATGCGAAGTCGTGTCCAACTCATTGCGACCCAATGGACAGCATTCCTCCAGGGCTTCCTGCCCTCCACCATCCCCCAGAGTCCACTTAAGCTCACACCAACTGCTTCAGTGACTCCATCTAGCCACCTCATCCTATGCCGTCCCTTTCTTCTTTTGCCATCTATTGTTCCCAGTATTAGGCTCTTTTCCAGGAAGTCCTTCCTTTTCATTAGGTGGCCAAAGTATTTGAGTTTCATCTTCAGTATCTGGTCTTCTAAAGAGCACTCAGAGTTGATCTCCTCTAGGACTGACCGGTTTGATTGCCTTGCGGTCCAAGGGACTCCAGCACAACAATTCAAAGGCCTCAATCCTTTGGTGCTCAGCCTTCCTTATGGCCCATCTTTCACAGCCATACATTGCAACTGGGAAAACCATAGCCTTGACTATACGCACTTTTGTTGGCAGGGTGATGTCTCTGCTTTTTAGTATGCTGTCTAGATTTGCCATAGCTTTCGTCCCAAGGAGCAAGCGTCTTTTGATTTCTTGGCTGCAGTCCCCATCTGCAGTGATCTTGGAGACCAGGAAAAATAAAATCTGTCACTACCTCCATTTCTTCCCCATCTATTTGCCTGGAAGTGAGAGGACCAGATGCCATGATCTTAGTTTTCTTAATGTTGAGTTTCAAGCCAACTTTTGCACTCTCCTCCTTCACCTACATCAAGAAGCTCTTTAGTTCCTCTTCACTTTCTGCCATTAGAGTGGTATCATCTGCATATCTGAGGTTGTTGATATTTCTCCTGGCAATCTTAATTCCAACTGGTGATTCATCTAGCCCCACCTTTCTCATGATATACTCTGCATATAAGTTAAATAGGCAGGGGGATAGTATGCAGCCTTGCGAAACTCCTTTCTCTCTCTCTCTCTCTCTCTCTCTCTCTCTCTCTCTCTCTCTCTCTCTTTTTCATGTGCAATATTTATTTATTTAGCATATTTATCCCCTGCCTTTTGCTATTCATTTTTTTGAATAAATTTTATTTTAAATAAGCCTAACACAAAAGAGACTAAAAACAACATCAATCATCAAAAACATTGGACCTACTGGGTCAGCCCCCCACATTGTTTCTTTTTATGTTAAACTATAAACATATTTAAATCTATGCATAGTCCCGTTTCTCTAGCCAATGATAAAAAGAATCCCAAGTTTGATAGAAGTATGTATCTTCTTTCTCCTTCAGTGACAAAGACAATCTGTCCATTTCTGCACAGTCCAAGATCTTTTTTAGAATCAGTTCATCGGTAGGTGGCTCTTCACTCTTCCGGTGTTGGGCAAATGCAATCCTCGCTGCAGTAATTACATGTAGAGTCAAATACATTGCTTGCTTACTGACAATATCAGGTATAATGCCTAATATGAAAACTTCAGGTTTGAATGCTAGAGATTTTTGTAACATTTCTTCAAGCCATTTGTGTATTTTCATCCAATACTTTTTGCCTTATCACAGGTCCACCACATATGATAAAAAGTACCCAATTTCTTTCCCACAGCTTTTGCCATTTCTCTAATTCAGTATTACTGTATATCCAAAGTTTTGTGCCCACGTTATCATAGTTTCCTTAACCTGTTCACCTTCCATTCTCCTATCTGGTAAGAAGTTATATAATCTTTTAATCATTTTCTCATCTGATTTAAGAATCACTTGGTCAAATGCTGTTAACTCCTTATAAAAGCCCCACATTCTATAGTCTTCAGCATATCTGGATTGCATCTGAACCTTGTGCCATGCCGAACTCCTTTCTCAACTTTGAACCAATCAGTGGTTCTGTGTCCAGTTCTCACTGTTGCTTCTTGACCCTCATATAGGTTTCTCAAGAGACAAATAAGATGGTCTGGTACTCCCATCTCTTTAAGAACTTGCCACAATTTGTTGTGATCCAACAATCAAAGGCTTTAGCATAGTCAATGAAGCAGAAGTAGATGTTTTTCTGGAACTCCCTAGCTTTCTCCATGATCCAGCATATGTTGACAATTTGATCTCTAGTTCCTCTCCCTCTTCGAAATCCTGCCTGTACTTCTGGTAGTTCTCAGTCCATATACTGCTGGAGCCTAGCTTGTAGGATTTTGAGCCTAACTTTGCTAACATGTGAAATGAGTGCAATGGTGCAGTAGTTTAAACATTCTTTGGCATTGCCCTTCTTTGGAATTGGAATGCAAACTGACCTTTGCCAATCCTGTGGCCACTGCTGAGTTTTACAAATTTGCTGGCATATTCAGTCCAGCACTTTTTCTGCATTGTCTTTTGGGATTTTGAATAGCTCAGCTGGAATACTGTCTCCTCCACTAGCTTTGTTGTTGCTCAGACTTCCTAAGGCCCATTTGACTTCACATGCCAGGATGTCTGGCTCGAGGTCAGTGACCACCCCATTGTGGTTATCAGGGATGTTAAGCTCTTTCCTGTATAGATCTTCTGTGTAATCTTGCCACCTCTTCTTAATCTCTTCTGCCTCTGTTAGGTCCCTGCCATTTTGGTCCTTTATCATGCCCGTCTTTACATGAAATGTTCCCTTCATATCTCCAATTTTCCTGAAGAGATCTCTGGTCCTCCCTATTCTATTGTTTTCTTCTATTTCTTTGCACTGTTCATTTAAGAAGGCATTATCTCTTCTAGCTATTCTTCCATCCATTGTTCTTCAGGCACTCTGTCTATCAGATCTAATTCCTTAAATCTATTTGTCACCTCTACTGTATATTCATCAGGGATATGATTTAGGTCATACCTGAGTGGCCCGGTGCTTTTCACAACTTTCTTCAATTTAAGCCTAAATTTTGAAAAAAGAAGCTCATGATCTGAGCCACAGTCAGCTCCTGGTCTAATTTTTACTGACTGTATAGAGCTTCCCCGTCTTTGGCTGCAGAGCACATAGTCTATCTGATTTCTGTGTTGACCGTCTGGTGATGTCCTTGTGTAGAGTCGTCTCTTGGGCTGTTGGAAAAGAGTGTTTGCTATGACCTTCATATTCTCTTGACAAAATTCTACCAGCCTGTGCCCTGCTTCATTTTGTACTCCAAAGCCAAACTTGTCTGTTATTCCAGTTATCTTCTGGCTTCCTACTTTAGCATTTCAATCCTCCATGATGATAAGGACATCATATTTTGGTGTTAATTCTAGAAGGTGTTGTAGGCCTTCATAGAACCGGTCAACTTCAGCCTCTTCAGCACCAGTGGTTGGGGCATAGACTTGGACTATTATTGAATGGTTTTCCTTGGATTCGAACTGAGATCATTCTGTCATTTTGGAGATTGTATCCCAGTACTGCTTTTCCTACTCTTTTATTGACTATGAAGGCTACTGCATTTCTTCTGAGGGATTCTTGCCCACAGTAGTATACCTGATGGTCATCTGAATTAAATTCACCATTCCTGTCCATTTTAGCTCACTGATTCCTAAGATGTCGATGTTCAGTCTTGTCATCTCTTGTTTGACCACATCCAGCTTGCCTTGATTCATGGATCTTACATTCCAGGTTCCTATGGAGTATAGATCTTTGCAGTATCAGACTTTCCTTCCACCACCAGATACATCTGCAACTGAGTGTCCTTTTGGCTTTGACCCAGTCGCTTCATTCTTTCTGTTGGTACTAGTACTAGCCCTCTGCTCTTCTCCAGTAGCACATTGGACACCTTCCGACCTGAGGGGCTCATCTTCTGGCGTCATACCTTTTTGCCTTTTGGTACTGTCCATGGGGTTTGCCTAGGGCCTGTTATTTTCCCTGTTAGATGAAAGACAACTGGATGGCACATGACAACAACAGCTTCACCTCTCCACAGGGTGGTCCCAGTGAGCTTCCTGTGCTGTCTTGATTTTGTTATATTTTGATTATGTGATTTTTTTAGAATTGGATGGAATGGGGTCCTGAAATTCATTGATCCAAGTCAAAAATAATTGTGAAGTAATGCACTCCTTTTAAGCTGTTTTGTTGGGTATTTAGTGAGGTTGCTGGGGATTCTCTGTATGAGATCACTAGCTTCTATGATTCCTGGGATTTTCTGAGGAGAGGGATTAATGAATTAACCACTTGCGTAGGGGTTAGATCCAAATTTAGGCATGTACAACTGGGCTGCTGAAGCTCAACTTCCCCAATTCCTCCTCACTATAGCAGCCCCTTCAGCATCCTAAAAATGCTACACAGAGGCTCAAGTCTCCTGTTGAATATGGGGCAGGGGGATCCCCACATGCGTGCACACAACTGCACAGAGATACCTTCCATAAGTAGATTCCTTCTATCAATAGAAGGCAGACCCAGGATTAACTTTGTGTTGCTGTGAACAGATACTTAAAGTATTTTTGTCATTTTAATTAAATTAATTGCCTACTCTTTTAAATCTGCAGTAAATTAAAAAAAATGTTCCGGAAACTAAAGGATGAGAGGCCTGAGACAAAAGAAAATGATTCTAACCTTTCCAAACAGCCCCAGCAATGGGAACTGGACTATGTCTTGGAACCTTTCACTGGACTGACTCCAGAATACATGGAAATGAGTAAAGTCTTTTCCTTTTTCTCTGCTAATATCAAAATGATTTTTTTTTCAACAAAAGCCATTTGTATAAACTTTGTAAAATGTTAGACTTACCTTTTTTCTTAACTGAACATACATGTTGGTACTCTGGTATTACTAAGGATGAACTGGTATACTAAGATCTGTGAACTAAACAGGTTAAAGGTTAAAGTACAATGTGACTTGTTCTATTTTAGCAGCTTGACTCATTTCCAAGGTTTACTATGCTTAAGTAATGAATTAACTGTCAGTTAATTAATCACTATTTGAGTGTTGGGGGAGTGTTAATCTGTGATACTAGACTTTATTTCATGGCCTGTGAATTAAGGAGAAATGCCATGTGATGGATACACTAGCCAAAGGACACACTGTGCATTTATTATTGAAAGGGCATGCAGATCTCTTTGAGATGTGTACTAGCATGGCATGAACAGCCTCTGTGCATTTTACGAGTATATCCCCCTGAACATGAAGAGGAGTGTTCTATTTAGTTTTTGTGGATAATAGCCACAGATAATCCTCTGTTCCATTAATTTACCTAACCCTTTAATAAGAAATGTATCAAACCTAAATTCTATAAGTTAACCATCCCATGTTGGACGTAGCACTGCCTTTTCTTTTACTGAATCTCCTGGAATTATGAGGGAGAGAAGAATTACCTCTCAATCCATGTTCTGTATACTGTGCAACATTTTATAAACTTCTGTCATGTCCTTCCTAGTCTTTCTGCCAACAGAAGAAGAAAACATGGGTTCATGTACCCTGCACTCTTTTCATAGACTATATTACATGGGTAGAAAAATGGTTACTGACCCTTCTCCTTGATTTAAGGTCTTACTAAATCTGATTTAGCAAGAAGAGCTTCCAATTTTAGAATTAGAAAATGGTGACTGGATGCAAACAGAATAGGGCTCCTTAGAATCATAGAATTATAGAATAGAAGAGTTGGAAGGGACCATGAAGGCCATCAAGTCCAACTCCCTGCTGTTGCAGGACACTACATTACACAATCCCACTCAGATGACTGTACAGGTTCTTTTTGAATGTATCCAGTGTGGGAGCGCCCACTACCTCTCTAGGCAGTTGGTTCCACTGTTGTATTGCTCTGACCATGAGGAAGTTTTTCCTGATGTCCAGCCTGAATCTGAGTTGCCACAATTTGAATTGATTATTCCATGTCCTACATTCTGGCATTAGCAAAAAGAGATCTTGACCTTTCTCTTAGTGACAGCCTTTGAGCTACGTATAGAGGGATGTCATGTGCCCCCTCAGTCTATGCTTCCCAAGGCCGACCATGCCCAATTCCCTCAGTCTCTCCTTAAAGGGCAGTGTTTCCCAACCCTGGATCATTTTTGTCGCCCTCCACTGGACCCTCTCTAATTTATTTATTTATTTATTTATTCAATTTATATCCTGCCTTTTTCCTACAGAGAGCTCAAGGCAGCTTACATCATTCTCCTCCTCCGTCTTATCCCCACAACAACCCTGTGAGGTAGGTTGGGCTGAGAGTCTGTGACTGGCCCAAAGTCACCCAGTTGGCTCCATGGCTGAGCGGGGACTAGAACCCAGATCGTCTGAGTCCCAATCCCATGCTCTTAACCACTTTACTTGCATCTTTCTTAAATCTTGGTGCCCAGAACTGGACACAGTACTTTAGATGAGGTCTGAGTGGTGAGGAGTATAGAGGAACTACTACTTCTCGTGATCTGGAAGTAATACTTCTGTTAATGCATCCCAAAATAGCATTTGCCTTTGGCAGCTGCATTGCATTGTTGGCTCCTGTTTAGTCTATTGTCCACAATTAGTCCAAGATCTTTTTCTTGTTCAGTTCTGTTGAGCCACATATTCTCCATCTTGTATAGATGCATTTGTTTTCTTTTTCCTAGGGGGGGGACTTGGCACTTGTCCTTATTGAATTTCATTCTGTTGGTTTCAACCCAGTGTTCAAGTTTATCAAGTTTATCTGTCTTCTAGCTTGTTTGCTATTCTACCCAGTTTTGTATCATCTGCGACTTTGATTCTTTCCCTGTACTTCCTCATCAAGATGTTGAAGAGCACAGAGCCCAGGACTGAACCCTGTGGCACCCCACTAGTTACACCCATCCTATTTGAGAAGGTGCCATTGACGAGCACTCTTTGTGACCAATTTCGCAACCAATTTTGGATCCACCTAATAGTTTTTCCATCTAGTCCAGTTTTTGCTAATTTGCTTATCAGAATGTTGTGTAGCACTATTTCGAAAGCTTTGTTAAAATCTAGGTATATTATGTCCACAGTGTTCCCTTTGTCCATTTGGGAAGTTACCCAGTCAAAAAATGAGATTAAATTAGTCTGACAGGATTTGTTTTTGATAAATCCATGCTGGCCTCTATAAATTACTGTATTTTCTTCAAGATGCTTGCAGATGATTTTTTAAATAATTTTCTCCAGAATTTTTCCAGGGATTGACGTCAGACTAACTGGTCTATAGTTCCCAGGTTCATCTTTTCCCCCCTTTTTGAAGATAGGGACAACATTAGCCTTTCTCCAGTCATCTGGCACTTCTCCTGTTTTCCAAGATTTACTGAAGATGATAGCCAGTGATTCTGAGAGTTCCTCCACTAGCTCTTTTATGACTCTGGGATGGCATTCATCAGACCCTGGAGATTTGAAAGTGTTTATTCCACCTAGATATTCCTTGACCATTTGTCTGTCAATCTTGGGCTGCCATCTTTCACTTCCCACTTGAACTTCCTCTTGATTGCAGATTTCCTTGTGGGAAAAAACTTGAAGCAAAGTAGAAACTGAGCCTTTTCTTTGTCATCTATTATCATTCTGCCATCCACTTTAAGTAGCTGGACACCCTTCTCTTTCTCATGTCTTTTGTTCTGGATCTATCTGAAGAAGGCTTTCTTGTTGTGCTTAGCATCCCTTGCTATTTTTAGTTCATTTTCTGCTTTAGCCTTCCTGATGCAATTCTGCAATCCCTTGCTGTTTCTTTATATTTTTCTTTTGTGGCCTGGCCCTGTTTCCACTTCCTGTGCATGTTCTTTTTTTCTTTCAGACTGTCACTCAACCCTTTATGGAGACACGTGGGCTTCCTCTGCTGTCTTCTACACATTTTTCCCAATGGAATTGTTCATAGCTGTGCTTCAAGGATCTTCCTTTTCAAGATTTCCCATCCCTCTTGGACACCTTTCCCCCTAAGGGTGTGTTGCCATGGCACTTTGCTTATCATTTTTCTGAGTTTGTTAAAGTTGGCTTTCCTGAAGTCCAGGATGCTAGTTTGGCTCCAGTTACCCATTGTTGCCTTCATAATTGAGAATCCAAGTATCACATGGTCACTTTCCTCCAGAGTTCCCATGGTTGCTATTTTGTCCACCAGCCCATCCCTGTTAGTATTAAATCCAATATAGCTGATCATCTCGTAACTTCCTCTACTTTCTGCTGGAGAAAGTTGTTGGAAACACATGTCAGGAATCTCTTGGAGGGGCCATGCTTGGCAGAATTTGTCTCCCAGCATATATCAGGGAAATTGAAGCCCTCCATAAGGACTACATCATTCTTCTTGGAAATACTGGCAAGTTGCTTTTCAAAGGTTACATCCTTGTCCTCTTTTTGACTGGGTGGATGGCAGTATATGCCAACAACTTTGGTTTTCTTATTTTTTGCTCCCTTTAAATTTAGCCTTAGGCTTTCAATGGGGCTACTAAGTCCTTCTTCTTGAATTTCTGTGCAGATGTATGTGTCTCTCACATATAGTGCAACTCCACCCTTCTTTTTGTCCTTTCTATTTTTTTTGAACAGGCTGTATCCATCAATTGTAGAGTTTCAGTCATGTGAGTCATCCCACCAAGTTTCAGTTATTCCTATAAGATCATAATTGCCCTTGTGTACTATGAGCCCAAGTTCATGTTGCTTGTTTCCCATACCCTGGGCATTGGTGTAGAGGCATCGAAGTTCTGGTTTTCTTTCTACGTTTTTTGGGGAGACTGGTGCTGGGTCCTGCTTGAGATTTTTTCTATGTTGAAATATGTAAGTCTTTGCCATACTGCACATCTCCCTCCCCTATATGTTTTAGTTTAAAGCTTTTCTGATGTACTTTTTCGTGTGGTGACCAAACACCTGCTTCCCATTCTTTGTGAGGTGCAGCCCACATTTGCCAGTAGTCCATCTTCCAGAAAGCTTAGCTTGTTGTCCCAGAATCTCAATCTCTTTTCCTTTTTGCACCCACTTTTGAGTCCTGCCCTCTAGGGCAATAAATTTGCTTCATCATCCTGTGTAGCAGCCCTTTAAATAGTTAGAAAAGGTTGAAGGAGTCAGCATGTTTAGCCTGGAGAAAAACGTGTTAAGGTAGCCATCTGCAACTTGACTTATTTTCCATGCAACATCTCCTGTAAAGTACTCTGAAGGCAAATGCACATACAGGGCTCAGTCGTCAAAAATGATAGGTCTGTTACAGATACCTCCTTCAATTCTAGAGTACAAATTACTCTGGTGCTGATTTCCCATCCTCATCAGTGATAATCCATGAGCAGGAGCAAGGAAACCTATAGCACAATGACATGAAGACATGAGGTAGATGGACAATACGTTATGGAGGTGGGATTCAACAGAAGGCTATTGTTTTCCTCAGCAGCTCTTTGTTCCATATACTATGTTGTCCTATTCTTCCCTAAGACACCATCTAATATTTGTGCACTTTTTATCAGCAAATCGCCTAAGCCACTTGATTAGCATTTCCACTACCAGGCGCCTAAGCTTTAACTCAGGTACCTCATGAGTCAAGCACAAGTTTTTATTTATTTATTTATTAAAACATTTCTATGCCGCCCCTTGCCGAAGCCTTGGGGCGGCTTACAACACAATAAAATACAATAAAATACAAAAATAACAATATAAAATTAAAATTAACAATATAAAATAAATAAAACATATAAAAGAAGTCACCCTGGCCAGATAAATAAGCAAATATTGCTAACAATTAAAATGACGTTTAAATAA